ACCGCCAGATAAGGGTACATCCTGATGACTGTAGTTATCAAAGAATACTTTGCAGAGAAGATCCATCAAATCCAATTCAAATATACCAATTATCAACGGTAACGTACGGTTTAGCATGCGCTCCTTACTAGGCAATACGGTGTCTAAACAAGCTAGCTGAAGAACACAGTGAAACGCAACCATTAGGTTCTACTGTTATTCGTAAAAGTACATATGTTGATGACATTTTGTCTGGCGCAGACAATCTTGACGAAATTCAAGAAGTCATTTTTCAGTTAAACCAAGTATTGATGGCGGGCGGCTTTAAGGGGGGAAATTCATTTAGAACCGTCAAAAAACTCAAAAATTTTTTTTTCCATAAAAAGTTGCCTGAACATCTTAAGAATATGATAGCAAAATTTTAAAGCGAAATTCTAAGTACTTCCGTTAAAATAGCGTATTTTCCCGGTGCGCGTTCTTCGTGAAAATTATACATATAAACTATGTGACTCACGCATGATCACGTGATCAAAAAAATCGATTATTTTTATAACAATATCTTGTTTAAGCTCTTGATTCTATGAAGTTTTAATTTCAAATGATTTAAATTGTAGAAGTTATAAACCTTTAACAAGTACGTTATAGATAACAATCTACAAGTTTTCCCGGTTTTTATCCGGTTATTATTTAGGGATGTATCTTTACTTCTGTGGGAATAAAACAACATTCGTATCATTTGATAGAGTTTTTTACCGTGTTCAGTGCTTTGGCTAATGTTGTTATTTGTTGCAAATGTAAAGATACCATATAATTTGCGGTAGATGGAATGAGAGGTCTTGGGTTCAAGCTCGTTTTGCTTTGTCATTGTGGCCGAAGAGACATAAATTCCGGACCGTTAATTCAAACTGGTTATGAAATAAATCGTAGAATTGTTTTTGTTATGCGTCTGCTGGGCATTGGGAGGCAAGGAATAAATTTATTTTGCAATTTTATGGATATATGCGACGGTTTGAGTAATAGTGCATACAATAATATTGTTAAACATCAGCATTCAGCCACCAAATCGGTGTTCGAATATTTCAGCGGAAAAGCTGTTGAAGAAGAAAAGAAAGAAAATGAAAGGCAAGAAAGGTCAATCTTGAATTTAAAAGTATCTGGTGATGGTTCTTGGAAAAAGCGCGGATTCAAATCATTATACGGCGTAACATCGCTTATTGGGTACTATTCTGGTAAAGTTATCGATGTAGCTGTAAAAAGCAGTTATTGTCAAGCCTGTACATTTTATAAAAATAAAGAAAATACAGAAGAATATATTGACTGGTATGAAGAACATAAAGAAAATTGCATAAAAACTCACGAGGGTCTGCCGGTAAAATGGAAGTCGATGCAATTGTAGAGATGTTTTTGAGATCCGAAGAAAAGTTTGGTGTAAAATACGGCAACTATATAGGGGACGGAGATTCCAAAACGTTCAAAGCAATTTTAGAACAAAATCCATATGGCGACGATTTTCCAGTAATTAAAAATGAATGTATTGGACATGTTGAAAAGAGGATGGGATCCCGACTACGAAACATAAAAAAAACATACAAACTTGGCGGAAAAGGAAAATTGACAGATACTCTAATCAGAAAACTTACGACATACTACGGTCTTGCTATCCGTAGAAATATCAACAGTGCAGAGGACATGAAAAAAGCGATAATGGCTAGTTATTACCACATGTGCTCTACAGATGAACATCCAAATCACCAACATTGTCCGTCAGGATCCGAGAGCTGGTGCAAGTGGCAAAAAGCTAAATCAAATGGGTCGGATTCCTTGATGAAGCATCCAGTGCCATTGCATCCAGATGTTCAGACACACATATATTCAATTTATGAAGATTTATCCAGAGAAAATTTATTAATAAGATGTTTGGGGGGCCACACTCAAAATGCCAATGAAAGTTTCAACTCTACTATTTGGCGATTGGCTCCAAAGCACCTGAATTCTGGCTTAAAAATAGTGGATATTAGTACATATATTGTGGCTAGTTTATTTAATGAAGGACACAGTAGCATATTGGAAATAATGAGTAAATTAAATCTAATTATTGGGAGGCAAGCCAACATATACGCTGAACAAATGGACGAACATCGAATTACTCGGCAGTAACGATGTAACGAATCTGTGTTTAAAGAAGCTCGAAAAGCACAAAAAGACCAGTTGGCGATCGAAAGTGAATTTTATGAAGAAGCTGAAGGTCTGATATACGGTCCGGGTATTGCAGACTAGCCAACAAGTTATTCGTGATTGAAAAAAATTTGTTTTTACGACTTGAAACTTTAACGCGCTTTTTCTCAAATCAATGTATTTACACCTTATAAGCACGATAACTAATAAACTACTTGACCGATTTTCATTAAATTTGTTACACATATAAATAGTAATATCACCTTCTATTTGAACCTCTAAGTATACATAAGTTATGTTAAAAAATTACTTTTTTATTAATTTATATATCAATATTTTCTTAAAAAGTTATAACATTATTTTAAAACACCTGTATTTTTTAAATGCTTAAATTTTTTAAACTTTTTTTTGGTTCACATAGAAGATATGAATGTTGGGAACAATTTAAATGCATTCGCAAGTAATTCTAACCACTGTAGCGAATGCTAGAATGTTTGAAACGGAACCGCTCACTCCGTAACGTTTCCCTATCTGATCACTATTTGCCGTTCGCCTATAAAAGTTTTAGAATATGTGAATACATATTTTTATAGTACAAAGTATCACTAAATAGTAGTGGGTATCAAAAAGGTTTTAAACTAATTTCAACTTCACGAAAAAATAACTTGAAAATGCGCTTATTTTAGCTCATCTAAATGTACTTCCCCCCTTAAAGCAAGAAAGTGGATGTCTAATCATCCAGACATTCTCAACCATGTCTCAGAAGAGCTAATATCAACGTCCTTCACCTGGAATGTTGAGGAAACATCAACCCGAGCTCTTGGTTTGTTATGGAATAATCGCGAGGATTGTTTTATTTTTAAAAGTCAATCATATTTAGAAAATACCAAAACCATTACTAAGCGTGAAGTATTATCATTTATCGCGNACGGTCTTGCTATCCGTAGAAATATCAACAGTGCAGAGGACATGAAAAAAGCGATAATGGCTAGTTATTACCACATGTGCTCTACAGATGAACATCCAAATCACCAACATTGTACGTCAGGATCCGAGAGCTGGTGCAAGTGGCAAAAAGAAAAAGTGGCATCCAGATGTTCAGACACACATATATTCAATTTATGAAGATTTATCCAGAGAAAATTTATTAATAAGATGTTTGGGGGGCCACACTCAAAATGCCAATGAAAGTTTCAACTCTACTATTTGGCGATTGGCTCCAAAGCACCTGAATTCTGGCTTAAAAATAGTGGATATTAGTACATATATTGTGGCTAGTTTATTTAATGAAGGACACAGTAGCATATTGGAAATAATGAGTAAATTAAATCTAATTATTGGGAGGCAAGCCAACATATACGCTGAACAAATGGACGAACATCGAATTACTCGGCCGTAACGATGTAACGAATCTGTGTTTAAAGAAGCTCGAAAAGCACAAAAAGACCAGTTGGCGATCGAAAGTGAATTTTATGAAGAAGCTGAAGGTCTGATATACGGTCCGGGTATTGNTATGAGAATTCACTGTAAATAAAACTTACATGTTCTCAGAGCTAACTTTTAGAATAATTTTAGCTAAACATGGCGGCATATAGCGGTACATGGCACGATATTTTATTTTTTTACACGGAAACTATTAACTATAAGGAAAATACTAAAGAGACAAAAAAGTACCACTAAAGAATAAGCTATACAATCCATATTTTTTTATGTTAATATTCCATAGCGTTAAAAAGTTCTTATAAAAAAATCAAGAGAGTGGTGAATTTCATCCCTTTAGAGGGCGCTAGTGAAGTTTAAAGTATGCTTGAAAATAAGGTCTTAACCAGTAGTGAATACGTACAAAGTTTCAAATTCAACGGTTTACGTACAGCCGAAATACAAAACAAAATGTAAATTTTTGGCTCAACTTTGATCGGTCATAGCTCTAAAACAAAAGAGTTGCGACTCTATGTTTATATAAAATACTTGTGTTATTTTGGCAAGTACTACATCCTAGTAAAGTTTCCCGAATAAAAACTGAACCACCCTGTATACGCTGAACAAATGGACGAACATCGAATTACTCGGCAGTAACGATGTAACGAATCTGTGTTTAAAGAAGCTCGAAAAGCACAAAAAGACCAGTTGGCGATCGAAAGTGAATTTTATGAAGAAGCTGAAGGTCTGATATACGGTCCGGGTATTGCAGACTAGCCAACAAGTTATTCGTGATTGAAAAAAATTTGTTTTTACGACTTGAAACTTTAACGCGCTTTTTCTCAAATCAATGTATTTACACCTTATAAGCACGATAACTAATAAACTACTTGACCGATTTTCATTAAATTTGTTACACATATAAATAGTAATATCACCTTCTATTTGAACCTCTAAGTATACATAAGTTATGTTAAAAAATTACTTTTTTATTAATTTATATATCAATATTTTCTTAATAAGTTATAACATTATTTTAAAACACCTGTATTTTTTAAATGATTAAATTTTTTAAACTTTTTTTTGGTTCACATAGAAGATATGAATGTTGGGAATAATTTAAATGCATTCGCAAGTAATTCTAACCACTGTAGCGAATGCTAGAATGTTTGAAACGGAACCGCTCACTCCGTAACGTTCCCCTATCTGATCACTATTTGCCGTTCGCCTATAAAAGTTTTAGAATATGTGAATACATATTTTTATAGTACAAAGCATCACTAAATAGTAGTGGGTATCAAAAAGGTTTTAAACTAATTTCAACTTCACGAAAAAATAAGTTGAAAATGCGCTTATTTTATCTCGTCTAAATGTATTTCCCCCTTAATTGATTGTACAACTTTTGAAACATTTACGTAATTAATACATTTCTTTTTATTTATATAGAATAAAGAAACTTTCAACTTTGATGGTAAACCCGCACCAAACAAATGCGATGTTTTAAAAGGTCCAATTTTTGAATCCTGCACCAAACACATTCCAGTGGATGATTATTATAAAACATGCGTTATATCAGCACAAAATCAAGAAAATACAGAAGACACTGATAGCATTTATTGCGCAATATTTGCCACGCTCGCTCAAGAATGTATCGATATAAATAATCCGATAAAATGGAGATCACCAGATCTTTGTCGTAAATAATTTAGGATATATTTTTAGTGTAATAATAATTAATTATTTTCTTTCAGCAATTGATTGTCCTGCTAAAACTACTTATAGCAGCTGCATAAATTTATGTTCTTGTGAAGATATTGAAAAGAATGGTGTTTGCCCTGAAAAACCATGCATTGAAGGATGCGTTGCAAAGAAATGTAATGAAGGAGAAGTATTTAAAACTAAACAATTTGACGAATGCGTCACAATTAAGGAATGCTCCAAAATCAAATGTATGAAGGAATTAGAGAAGAAGGATGATGAAAATTGTAAATGCGAAGATGAAAAGATTGTGTGCACACCTAAAGTGGTAAATTAATTTTGAATTGAATAGATAATTAAATTTCTAATAAAAATATTTTTAGACTGAACCACCGGTTACAATTCCAATTACTACAACAACTGAACCAGTGACTAGAGCACCAATTCAACCGCCAATTGAATTACCTACTCAACCACCAACTCAACCTCCAACTCAACCTACAACTCAGCCACCAACTAAACCCATAAAGATTGAACCAACTAAAGAACAAAAAGAATTATTTAACGTATTTAATGACGTCAAAACAACTTTAAAACATGTAAGAATTCAAAAATTTTTATTATTTAATTAATTATTACTATTTTATTATTATTTTAGATAAAAGAGAGTCCCTTATACGATTGTAAGTTTACAAATTACACAAAAATTAATGAAAAATGTTTAAAACAGTTTCTATTTTTAGCTTTACCACCGAAAGAAAAAGAGTTGAATGAAATGTTTGCCGGTCATGTTGTTGAATTTGAAGATGAAATAAATTGTCAACATAAAATTGCGGATGTGCAAAAATGTAGATGTATCAATAACGAAGAGGTTTGCAATCACAACATTAAAGTGAGTTATACTACGGTTTTATTACAAAATATTTTTATTTAATAAAATTATTTAAATTAGAATCAACAAGAAAATCAACATGAAATATCTAATAACTTGGATTTAATACTATTTATGAAACAACATTTGAAATGTGTAGAAGATGAATTTAACAACCCCGAAAATTGCACGTGCATAAACGGACAAAGAATATGCCCTGAAAAAGAAGTTTTAGTATCAACTGTAAGTTAATTAATTAATAAAATCTAATTATAAATAATTAATTTAAACGTTTCAGACTTCTAGACCAAAACCAAAACTTTATTGTAAGTAAAATAAATATCTTAAACGATTAATTTTAACACAACAAAATTATAGATTACATAACAAAATGCGAACGACGAATTGCTGTTTCGTTGTACAATGTACAATTTGCGAAAAAAGGTCAAAATTGTTATAAACAATTGAAAGAAAATCCATCGAATTGTTTCTGCGTGGATGAGCAAATGGTGTGTTACCCAAATACTCCAAATCCAGAGGAAAATATTAGAATAACTAAAGGTAATAAATAAAAATAATCAAAATAAATTTTTTAAATCAAACCATTTTAGATACACCACCAGAAGTTTACAACGAATACCTTAATGATGCTAAAATCCAATTACAATGTCAAGCTAGAATCGCTAATCGACAAGAAACATGTTGGTGTGAAAAAGGAAAAGAAGTTTGCGAGAAGAGACCTCAACCAATTCCCGAACGTGATAATGTAAGAATTTTTATTTTATGTATACGCTTATTATTTAATAATAAAATTTTGTTGTTATTTTAGTACGAAATAATCAACGAATACAGTAAGTTAAACAATATTACATTCAATTTAAAATTAAATTATTTAATTATTACTTATATGTAATTATAGAGGAATCAACAATTAACAGAAATGAAATTTACGACCAATTTCATAAAGGTCTCGAGTGTACCGAAGATTTGGGCGAGGACAGTCAAGTTTGCACTTGTATAAATGGTGAAAAAGAATGCTTTGATATGGATTTCGTAAGTATCTTTTTGTTATTATGTAACTAAAAATATATCAAATTCTACAATATATCTGATCAATATTGCCTTTTTGTGATTTAAAAATATATACAGGTGTATCTAAATTGATTGAAAATTAACTTTTTAGTCAAAACCACTTCTCCTCCAAATTACAGCCCTCTAAAATTAGGGGAAAAAATGTTTTTCTTTAATAAATCCACTATGGAAGAATTTAGAAGAATGAAATTTAGCACATAACTGTTGGTAATAAATGACAAGCAACTTTTTTGCCTCTTAAATTGTTAGTTTGACCACAAAAAAATTAAATAATACACAGGCTCAGGTGAATTAACCCTTTGTGCCCCAGAAATCAAAAATTTTGAAACTTTGTGACAAAATTAAAACGCTATCAAAATACACTCATAATCAGTAAAGTCCTTTGGAATCAATTTTAGCAAAATATACCAAATAGCAAAATATTAGTACCATAATTCCCCCATTAAGGACGAAAATGTGAATATTGAGAAAAAACATATTGAGCAAAAACTAACATTTTCGCATCTTTTATCAATATAATTGCTAATTTAAAAATTCCTGGATGTAGGATTAAGGAATGAGACTTATTCTAAATTAAAGCTCAATGCTTTCGCTTTAAAATGATGTATAATAATGGTTATGTTGGATCACAAAAATGTGTAGAAAGAAAATGTTGAAATTAAACTTACATTTTGGTATAACCTAAAAATGTCAAAAAAGATGCTAATTTAAAAATTCCTGGAAGCTATGTTTATTGAAATTAAGGAATGAAATTTATTCTAAATTAAAGCTCAAAGCTTTCTCTTTAAAATGATGTATAATAATTGTTGGGTTGGATTGGAAAAATATAGAGAAAAAAAATTTTGAAACAAAACTTACATTTTCGTATAACCTAAAAGTGTCAAAAAATATGCTAATTTAAAAATTTCTGGAAGCCGTATTTATTGAAATTAAGGAATGAAACTTGTTCTAAATTAAAGCTCAAAGCTTTCTCTTTAAAATGATGTATAATAATTGTTGGGTTGGGTTGGAAAATTTTTGAGAAAAGAAATGTTGAAATAAAACTTACATTTTCGTATAACCTAAAAGTGTCAAAAAAGATGCTAATTTAAAAATTCCTGGAAACCATGTTTATTGAAACTAAGGAATGAGACTTATTTTAAATTAAAGCTGAATGCTTTCTACTTTAAAGTACCGTCGGGACACAAAGGGTTAATTCAGCGATTGGTTATTGAAAAAATTAAGTTATGTCAAATTCATCTCAGCATTATTTTATTTTTTGTAATCAAACTAACAATTTGTTAGTTGTAAAATGTCAAGAGATAAGAAAGTTGCAGATTTTTTCCCTTAACTTTAGAAGGCTATAACTTGGAGGAGAAGAGGTTTTGACCAAAAACTTATATGAACTTAATTTTAATCTTAAAATCTTTCGCATCAATTTAGATACATCCTGTATATATTAGTAATTATATATTCTTTTAGGAAACACCAACGGAAGTAGAACCATCCGATGATGGTAAATATGGCATAATATGGTTTAATCAAATTAAAAATTTAAATGATAAAATTTTATGTTTTAGGTGATACAGATAACATAAATCCATCACAAAAAATAATAACGTTAATTACGGAAACAGAGCCAAAAATTGTATGTTTAAGAAAGAAAAATTTAGGACCGAATTGCCGTACATATAAAATGAGTCACGTGAAACGTAAATACTTATAATTAAAAGAGAATGATTTTTAATTTTTCTCATTTTTTAGCGACTCAAGAAGATGTTACGCAATTAAACGTTTACCATCAATACATTCGCCACATCAACGAACAATTAAATTGTTTAACAAATAAACCATCTTATTGTCTTTGTGTTAACGGTAAACAAGAATGTTCGTTTAAAGAATTTAATGTGAGTGTTTTAATAATGTTTTTATTAAATTATTAATTTTTGCTTTCAATTTTAGATCAGAGATATTAAAGAAAAAGGTAAGAATTGATTTGATTTATTTTTTTGTTGTTGTTATATTTTGTATTCGTTTTTATGAGCAGAAAGGAATCAAATAATTATTTATACCACATTTTTGGAACACATCAACGCCCAAATGGAATGTTTATCGCGATTAAATAGAGAATCATCAGGTTGTTTCTGCGATAATGGCCAACAAAAATGCGAAAAGGATAAAAATTATGTAAGACTTTTTATTTTTTTGTTGATTTTTCTCATATTTTTATTATTTTTTAAGGTGATTTATCCGTTGTTTGATAATCATGGTATGTAAATAACTTAAATAATTATTAATTTGATTAATTTAATCATCTTTTAGTTCTTGAAGAGTACGATGTTGACAAAAAATTCACCGAAATAGAAAATCAATTGGAATGTTTCAACGCGTTAAAATCAATATCGATGAAATGTTCTTGTAGAAATGGAGCTATGGAATGTGAACCGGATGAGGTATTTAATGTTTTATAGAATGAATTAATTAAATTAATTATTATTTTATTGTAGGATTTACGAAAACCGGAACCAAATGGTAAATAATTTATTATAATATATCTTCATATATTATTTTTTTTCTTTTATAGATGAACTTGCTAAAGTAAAACGAAACATCCCCGAGCAATTAAAAACAATTAAAACAATCGAGAGAAAAATGTACTGCATCATTAATAATGGTGCTCCAAGACCTTGTGGGCGAGTTTTTTCACCACAAAAAGTCGTACCAGTTATATCACAAGATGATAAACAATTATTAAAGGTTTATGGCAATTACTTTGATCACATAGAACTCCAACTATCATGCTTTGCAAATATAACTAGTCCTAATTGCATGTGTTCTAATGGAAAATTAGTATGTGGGATTGAAATTGTAAGTTTTTGTTAATTGAAACATTTATAATCAAATAAAATTAACGCAATTATAGGAAAACATGAATGAACGAAGAACTAAGGTTGCCAACACTCTCCAAATTTACGCACTCTTTATAAATTACGTCGAATCTCAATTAAATTGCGTCGAATCTTTAGGTGATAATCAATTTGCTTGTAATTGTGGGATAGAAAAAATGTGTGGAGAAAACCCGCGTCGAAATGTAATAAAAAAGTTTAAATTAATTTCATTTTATTTATTTTTTTATTTTTAGAAACTTGTTTCACTTGTTGATGCCACAATTTATAATAACCGAAATATTAATTCGCAACTTAAATGTTTATCAGAATTGAATAACAGAAATGATCGTCAGTGTTACTGCTCAAATGGATTAATGATTTGTGATGAACAATGTAAGATTTAAAAATAAATTAAAATTAAATTAATAAATCTGATTTACTTTTCAGTTGAAAGAAGATGCCCGGAAATTAAATGCCCGAAAAATTCAAAACTTGTTAAAAAATGCGCCGAGTGTTGTCCAGAATGCGAAACTGAACATTGCCTTGTACCAACAACTTTAAGAAATGGTACAATAAAATTAATCCCGAAACAGGTAAATAAACATAAATTAAACGTAAATTTTTATTTATTTTATGAGATTTGTTTAGCTTGATGAATCGTGGATGGAAAATATCTGCAAAGAATGTTACTGCAAAAAAGACGATATCGGAACGTACACACAATGCATACAATACATTTGTCCGGTTCTAAACAGTCAAGATATACTTTATAAATACGTAAAGGAAGAAGGAAAATGTTGCCCGCAACCGGTACAAATTGGATGTAAACATAATGAGAGATCATATCCATTAGGATCAATAATTTCAAAAACATTGTGTGAGACATTATCGTGTGTTAAAAATCGTCATGGAGATATTGTAAAACAAATACATAAAACAATTTGTTCTCCATGTCCTAAGGTAAATTAAATTTTCTGTGATATACAGGGTGAGTCAGAAAGAATGGGAAATACGAATACCGGAGATACTAGACACCAAAATATAATGATTTAACGTAACATCTCTTATACAAATGTCAGTGGTTTTCGAGGCATAGGGTGTTGAAAGTTAAATTCTTATTTCGAAATTTCTTGATAATTTTGAAGGTTTTTGTACTATTAACATAAAATTTGGTAGTTTTATGTTTTCGAGCATGAGAAATACGAATTTGAAACTTGTTTTGTTATTGCTCGTAGAGGGCGCTAGATACACGCTGCTCGTTTGATAAATCAAATCATAAGTTTTTTGGCTCGACAGCTACGACCAATAAGAGCTGCAAATCACAAAGAGCATTCAATTTTACATAAAAAAGGTACTCTTATTGAAATTGTCTAAGTCT